AATTCTAATGTAGGCCGGGGCTTGAACATGGGCTTGAGCTGGGGCTGGGGCTGGGGCAGGGACTGGGGCTGAGGCTGAGGCTGGGGCTTGGTATGGGGCAGGGTGCGAGATTTGATATGGGGCTTGGTATGGGGGCCGATACTGGGCTGGGTATTGGGCTGGGTATTGGGCTGGGAATTGGGCCGGGTATTGGCCTGGGTATTGGGCTGGGTATTGGGCTGGGTATTGGGTATTGGGCTGGGTATTGGCCTGGGTATTGGACTGGGTACGGAGCTTGTTGATATTGTACCCCAGACACCCCTGTGGAAATCTGCTTTTCGATCCTTGGTTGTTGCTGTGCTGGTGGGGGTAGTGCATTGTGACTTGCGTTATGAGAGTCATCTTGGCGGTGCACAATCTGCGGCCCGCTGACTGAGCTTTCTGTCCCAAAGAATATGTCTTTCTTTATTGTGTATTCAACTTTTTTTGTTTTCCAGCTGAAAAAAGCTCTGTACACCCAAGTTAAGCCAAAAACGGTGGCAACCCAATAGGTGAAGAGATTCATCCAGAAAGTTCGGTATCTAGCATCAGCATAGGCACAAAACCGTTTCTGGAACCCTTCAATGATATCAACGTACGAAAAGCAAATACTTACATCTCTATGTTTATTTTCTTCAATCAGGCCGGGGCTTGAACATGGGCTTGAGCTGGGGCTGGGGCTGGGGCAGGGACTGGGGCTGAGGCTGGGGCTTGGTATGGGGCAGGGTACGAGATTTGATATGGGGCTTGGTATGGGGGTCGATATTGGGCTGGGTATTGGGCTGGGTATTGGGCTGGGTATTGGGCTGGGTATTGGCCTGGGTATTGGGCTGGGTATTGGGCTGGGTATTGGCCTGGGTATTGGACTGGGTACGGAGTTTGTTGATATTGTACCCCAGACACCCCTGTGGAAATCTGCTTTTCGATCCTTGGTTGCTGTGCTGGTGGGGGTAGTGCATTGTGACTTGCGTTATGAGAGTCATCTTGGCGGTGCACAATCTGCGGCCCGCTGACTGAGCTTTCTGTCCCAAAGAATATGTCTTTCTTTATTGTATATTCAACTTTTTTTGTTTTCCAGCTGAAAAAAGCTCTGTACACCCAAGTTAAGCCAAAAACGGTGGCAACCCAATAGGTGAAGAGATTCATCCAGAAAGATCGGTATCTAGCATCAGCATAGGCACAAAACCGTTTCTGGAACCCTTCAATGATATCAACGTACGAAAAGCAAATACTTTCATCTCTGTGTTTATTTTCTTCAATCATTTGTTCTTGCATTTCGTTGAATTTTTCCGTAGTTTGAGCGTCGCCGCAGTTAACAGATTGTTCAAGCTTTAGACGAGTGACGCTTTGCGAGTCAAACTGTATGCCCCCCGGATCAGAAACATCAGCTGATCGGGCGATTGGGAAAACCTTGTTTTCTGTGTATGTAATCACTATCACTTGATAGGTTTCTAGCCTTCTCTGGGTGTTTCCTTGTGCGTCAGTGTAAGTAACTGTGCGGGTTCTCGTCTCCTTGTGGTAGCATTTTACCGTCATCTGCCTTACAGGGTCGGTATTTTTCAATTTGTTGACGTATTCAATAACAGAGATATCTGTAGAAAAATTTGCAATGTATTGTTTTTCAGAACTGTAGCACGACTCAAACAGCATAAAGAAATATCCGAATAACAACATTATAAACCCCATGATCACTAAATCTCCAAAAATCTCACCATACCGAGCACACTTAGAAGTCCCGCATACAGAAAGATAGAGTATCCAGCATATGCATGTGATAAAAGCATGAAGCGAAATAATGCGGAGGGCACTTTTGCCTTTCTTGAGTCCAATGATCATATGAATAGTCGGTATTAAAACTTGCAATAGGGAGACAATCGTCAAAACAAGTGGCCTAAACCAATCGGGCGTCTTGGTCCGATATGCGTAGCGCTTCTTCTGTTCCTCTGCTTCAATGGTAATTTTTGCATTTTTACTGATGCTTTTGCTGCTGATGTTTGGGCTGGTACATATCTGCACTGTTGTGTGCTTGTCCACTCAAACAAATAATCTCCTTGTTGGCACTGCGATATAAAGAACGACGGCTGGTAGGATTTTCTGCAAAAGACTGAAGCAAAGCTCGATTCTTCGAGACTGTAATTAACAATTTGATGAGCTGAAGACGGATAAATATATTTGTGACATCGTGGGGACACTTTGCTGCAGGTAAGCCCGCGGTAGGCTTCATCACAAATGCAAACAGTTTCATTTGTAAGACTGTTTTGTCTGCAGGTGCCTCCATTCAAACAGGGGTTCCATTCAGCGCACGAGGGGGAAGTGCCATTAATGACTCTTAGTGGAAGCCCTCTGCACCGAATGCTAGTAGGGTTGGTGAATCTCTCCCATGACGAGCCTCTTGATATTTCCCAAACAGATGTGATGTATTCAGGCCTAAAGGCGCTGTCTTTAGCTCTCAAAATTGGAGAATAGCCTTCTTGCTTCACCATCCAAAAAGGTCTTTGATAAAAGAGAATCAGTTTTGTTATTCTACTGTGTCTGTATATTTTTCGGTCATTCTTGTAGTTATTATAATATTCCTCGAAATAGTCGCTTAGATGGTTATGCAGAACTCCGCCATTATCCAAACTCATGAATGTTCTATTGAAATACACACGACCTGATGAACAGCGGAACACATCATTTGGAACACAAACCAACTTCATCGCGTCACGGCGATACAGATAACGGTACGATTCAGATTGCCAGTCAAAATATCTCCAATAGCTGATAAACTTCTGGTAGGGTTGCACCGTGTTACCCTTAGTTATCAAGCTCTGCCATGATTTCCCATCGAAATCACTTTTCATCTTCACGTACAGGCCCACATCACTTCTCTTCGAGGTTGACATATTTAAGTATTGAAATGCCATTGAATTTTCCCCATTTTTATTGATGTATTCAAAAACGAAATTCCTTTCTTCGTGCTTGAACATTGGGTGTCCATTACTTTCATTAAACTTGCGATAGATGCCTACAAGCTAAACATAGGGCATTCTCCTCTCGTCTCCATGATCGAAGTAAAGCCTTTCGCAAGGACTCGAAGCATGAAGTTTTGCGAAACATAGAGTAAAGATGATACAACAAGTTGAGATGATCGCCATTGAAGGAATCTTTCTACCAGCAAAGATAAAATAATTCTGTTCTTTAAGACTTCCCGCCAACCGTGCTCATCAGCTTCCCTAAATTATCTGACGAAGCCACGCATCCAGCTTGCTTTTATATGCAACCCTGATAGCGTTAAGGCCAGTTTCCACTTAAACGAAAGCGGTCGAATCGATCGACGTCGATCGATTCGATCGATAATCCGAATCCACAGACCAGTTTCCACTTAAACGAAAGCGGTCGAATCGACCGCCCTCGATCGACATCGGTCGAAAGAAAATTCACGATAAAAGGTCAATAACATTAGGCCAATAGATATTTTTCAGAATGGGTTTGACAACAAGGCAAATTATAGTTCTGCTATTGTTAAGAAGACGGCAAAGACGACGAAGTAAAGAGAAGGAAAATTAAAGGATTTGGGTTAGGAAGTTATACGCAGAGCGAAAAGAGAAGGGTGAATATCATTTGTTGATCAGAGAAATGAAATTGTATGATCATATGCTGTTTTACCAGCAATTCAGAATGACACCGGAAAAATACAAACATTTGTTGCAATTGGTAGCTCCAAAAATTTGAAAGAGTTGTGTAAAAAAGGGAAGCAATTCAGCCAGGAGAGCGCGTATCAGTCACTCTCAGGTATCTTGCAACTGGAGATGCACAAACTACTATTGCAGCAAGCTACAGAATGAGTAAAACTTCTGTTAGTAGGATCGTTAAAGAGACTACAGAAGTAATTTGGACTGAGCTGTTTAAAGCAGGATATCTTAAGGTCCCAAGTAGCGAAGACGAATGGAGAAAAACAGCAGAAGAATTTGAGGAGAAATGGAACTTTCCAAGCTGTGTTGGTGCAATAGATGGAAAGCACGTTGTTATGCAAGCCCCTGCCCGCAGTGGGTCATTCTTTATTAACTATAAGAAGAACCTCAGTATAGTATTGATGGCTGTTGTGAATGCCAACTACGAATTTACAATGATCGACATTGGAGATTCAGGAAGACAAAGTGATGGAAGGGTTTTTGCAGCAAGCAAGCTTGGTTTTGCTATAGATGATGGTTTGTTGAAACTCCCTAAAGCTAGAATGTAGCCAGGGACTAATGTTTTCCGTATGTTTTCGTTGGAAATGAGGCATTACCTTTAAAGCCTTACCTAATGAAACCATATGCAAGAAATGCGATGGGTACCGAGGAGCAAATCACTAACTACCGTATTTCCAGAGCTAGGCGTCAAGTGGAAAATGTTTTTGGTATATGTGCCTCGAGATTTAGAATTTTTAGAAGGCCAATAATTGCAGAGGTTGAGACAGTTGCTTTGATTACCAAAGCCGTGGTTGCCCTTCATAATTACCTTATGTTTGGGAGAAAATTTGGAGAAGTAAGCAACTATTGCCCACAAGGCTATGCTGAAGGAGACTGGAAAAATCTGGACTGTATCTGCGATGGGTTATTACCAATCAGAAATGCTGCCTCGCATAATTATTCAAGAGATGATCGTCAGGTTCGGGAAAACTATAAAAACTATTTCAATTCAGAAGCAGGCTCAGTTGATTGGCAGAAAGGCAGAATAACTAGAACAGCAGATCCATTTGACATTTGATTAAAGCTTTTTCTTTTAATACAACGATTGTAAAATATATTTTAAAAAAAAATTCGTATCGTGTTTCTAAAATAAATTACTGTAAAATTGCGGATTAGAACTCATCATCGTCAAATTCATATTTAAGCAACAATTGCTGAATTTCTATTTTGGCTGGTCTGTTCTTTCTTGGAGGGAGGTTTCTTAAAATTGGAACAATACTGTTTGCCAAACTCTGGTCAGCATCAACTTCCACTCTATTATCTCCTTTTAATGGTTCGTATAGAAGTTTATCGGGATGCTCATCATCTGAAATTAATAGTTTTCTTTGAGGTAGTGTTGTGGCCTTTCTTTTTCGTTTCGCTGGTATAGTGCTCATCGATTCCAGGCTTGATGCAGGACTTGGGGCAAAAGGGACAGGACTAACAGGCGATGCCAAGCTTTTTCCCAGAATTTCTTGCGTAGGGGCACTTTCCTGTGGCAAGTTGCTGACCATTTAAGTCGCAGGATCGATTTGCTGTTAATATCCGCTCTGTTTGTTAACATGAGAGGAAATCTCAAAAAACGATATTGTTCATTCTTCAATTATCTTATCTGAGGCTAGACATGTTCCTTGCAAAATTATTCTTTTCCATAAATAAAATAGAAGGAGCACGTAACACACAAGGTCGCAAAATGTTGTTTATGACAATATCTTTTAATTCCGTATGGCACTAATAAACAATGCTAAAAATGATTATAAATTATGTTATTTGGCGAAGAACGTAATAAATAAATTGGATCAAACTATAAGGAAAGATTATGAAAACCATATGAATGCAACCGTAAAGAGAATCTGGTCCACTTTTCCTCCTTAGAAACATGTAGTCAATCTCCAGTATTTATAACGTTTTCTGCTTGAGAACATCGTAAGAGTTTTAGCTTTACATGAACTTTATTCTAGTTTCTTTTCTTGCTATTAAATGCATGTAAGACTGTAATTGACTTGAAATAACAGTATGACTGTAGTATGAAGAATCGATTAATATCTGAATTTATTGGTTGTTAGGACTCTAGGTTGTTAGCAGAGCTAAAGAAGGTGCATATTCATTGTACATTTTCAATATTTTTATCTGCAAAGATTGAAGACTCGGTCCATTTTGTATTTGTATGTGAGTCGGTCCAACTTGTCCTGACACCTGCTTAAAGAGATTCTATTTTAGGAGCAGGAATGGAACATTTGACAATTTGGGAAAACTTTGCTTTGGTAATTTTAAAAAAGAAATTATGGCGAGATATCTTCAAGAAATATGAAATAATGTCAGCCTCCTAATAGGGCTTCTTGTTTTTCATATGAAGCTGAACATTGTCAACTATATTAAAATCTGGTATTGATTCTCAGCATTGCAAGACTTAATTCTTCCTCTGTTGCAAACTTTTTTTGTAAAAATAGTTTATTATTTAGATAATCTTTCATTTTGTTTATACACAAACATTCCTTTAAAAAAGTTGTTCATTGTATTCGCTTTTTAACTGACCACACTCACAAAAAAATTTTGATAACTCACAGCTCTTTTTTGGCTGCATTTTGCTTCCTTAACAATATTTGAAAATTTACAGTCCACTGTTACAGTTCTTTCAATCCTATTTCCAGAAAAAACATTTTATTTGCCTTTTAAACGTTGTTCTTTATGGGGCTATCAAGATTTTCAAGAATTTCTAGCCAAAAGTTGATATAAAATATACTTATTTCATGTGATTTGTACATAAAAACGACTAGCATCTTCGAAAATTCGAGAAAGTTTGCCACTATTTCGCACAAGCCTATCGCCCTCATTAGGTAGGCATAATGCTGACTTAATTAAACTGGCAAAAAAGTAAACATAAAACCTTTAGCTCACCAAAGCTCGCCAGCTTTCAAAAACTTTTAAAATTTCTACTAATCATAAAAACATATTTAACAACAACAGTAAACAAATGAGAACACGTGTCGAAGGCAAATTCTGGTAGCTCAGCTAAATTTTAATACAAGAATTTAACGTACCTTCTTTAAACGTGCTAATAAGTCCAACTTTTAGCAAACTCAAACTCGAAATTGTTTATCATATCAAGTTATACACACGCTACGTCAATGTAAGCTTTTTAGAAACGATAGTTAATGTAAATTGTGAGATAAGATACAAAGTAGTTTAAATGACTAACATAGGTTTTCACTAAATTTGATTTAGTTTTGTAAACCATTCAAGACAATTTTTTGTATAACAACTTTTGGTGGATAATTTTGGCCACAAAAATTGATTTTGAGTTTGATGATGTTGAGATAAACTTTTTGCACCCACGTGGTCCAAGAAAATCTTGTCATTGGCCAAAACTTCAAGGCACTTGCTTCGTTCTATCCAATGGAATATCATGTATTTTTCAAAATCTTCAATTTACCTCTGGTTCCGGAATAATTTATAATTCAAAGGATGAGGATTATGTTAAGATTTGTATTTGCAGGGCATAAGAGCACACAAACATAAAATTTTTATAAATAATTAGCATTTTAGCTTTGATGTAATAAGACTTGTTTGAAATGGTTTTCTTGTGCTACAGTGCTGTCCAATCATGTTTTATGCTATTATTTCCAAAGAACATTTTATAGCAATTTTTTTGGCAAATTAAAAGTTACGTAAATTTGAAAGTTATTTTACCCTAAAGTTGAAACCAACTCATATCAATAGGATGGCTATAGAACTTTTAAATGAGGTATCACTCGAACTTGAAGCTACTTGGCCACACCCTAAATTTGGTGAGGAAAAAGAAGAAACCTTTAAAGCAGCTTGATATGGGGCAGGGTATAGGACTTCATATAGAGCTTGGTAATATTAATGCAAAATCCATATGTCATATGGAGTTTTAAATTGAAAATTTGAAATCAGCACCCACAAAATAGCTATAACGCGTTATTTTATTGTTTCAATAGGCGAAACACGGCAGTTATTAGTATTTAAGCCAAATCGCCACGATTAAGTGCCACGCCCTTTTTCTTAATTTTTGAACAAAACAGCAAAACTTTGGAAGGGTATATTTCGAAAAAGATTTGAAATAATTTACTCAAAATTGGGGAATTTTCGCGATTGACCAAACTATAGAGATAGACAAAAAAGGTCCTAATTCTCTGACAACATGGTCACAATTTTCTCAGGTATGTGAATCTGTAACATCACTTTTGATTTTATATGGAATGACCATCAATAGATCATCACTCTGGATAAAGTTTAGCCTTATCACTAAACGGCTAAATGCATTTTAATAAACAAAGATAGCTAGATTAGTTTATAACATAGTAATTAAAACGCGTTGCATCAAGTGAAATCGAGGTAAAACTTCATCTTGACAGATTACGCGTGACATATTATCCTCACAGAAATAAGAAATAGCTAATTATCAAATGGTTATTGATTTTTCAAAATTTGAAGGTAGAGATCTCTAATTTTTAAATAACATGCTAAATTTAGAATTAATTGATCACTCAGAGTTGATTAATCAAGTAAAACCCACTACTTGTGATTTAGAAATTGTAGAATAAACGTTGCCAATGTCTGATAACTAAAGAGTCAATGAAATGTTTAAAAAATTATGAAATAATTTCGATCTAGATCGAACAGTCAAAAAATTAAGCTGACCTGTCTGATGGATAACGAAAACACTAATACGTGCTACCTTGAAATGATCTGTTTCCCATGCCAAAAATTCTAATGTAGGCCGGGGCTTGAACATGGGCTTGAGCTGGGGCTCGGGCTGGGGCAGGGACCGGGGCTGAGGCTGGGGCTTGGTATGGGGCAGGGTGCGAGATTTGATATGGGGCTTGGTATGGGGGCCGATACTGGGCTGGGTATTGGGCTGGGTATTGGGCTGGGTATTGGGGTGGGTATTGGCCTGGGTATTGGCCTGGGTATTGGGCTGGGTACGGAGCTTGTTGATATTGTACCCCAGACACCCCTGTGGAAATCTGCTTTTCGATGCTTTGTTGCTGTGCTGGTGGGGGTAGTGCATTGTGACTTGCGTTATGAGAGTCATCTTGGCGGTGCACAATCTGCGGCCCGCTGACTGAGCTTTCTGTCCCAAAGAATATGTCTTTCTTTATTGTGTATTCAACTTTTTTTGTTTTCCAGCTGAAAAAAGCTCTGTACACCCAAGTTAAGCCAAAAACGGTGGCAACCCAATAGGTGAAGAGATTCATCCAGAAAGATCGGTATCTAGCATCAGTATAGGCACAAAACCGTTTCTGGAACCCTTCAATGATATCAACGTACGAAAAACAAATACTTACATCTCTATGTTTATTTTCTTCAATCATTTGTTCTTGCATTTTGTTGAATTTTTCCGTAGTTTGAGCGTCGCCGCAGTTAACAGATTGTTCAAGCTTTAGACGAGTGACGCTTTGCGAGTCAAACTGTATGCCCCCCGGATCAGAAACATCAGCTGATCGGGCGATAGGGAAAACCTTGTTTTCTGTGTATGTAATCACCATCTCTTGATAGGTTTCTAGCCTTGTCTGGGTGTTTCCTTGTGCGTCAGTGTAGGTAACTGTCCGGGTTCTCGTCTCCATGTGGTAGCATTCTACCGTCATCTGCCTTACAGGGTCGGTATTTTTCAATTTGTTGACGTATTCAATAACAGAGATATCTGTAGACAAATTTGCAATGTATTGTTTTTCAGAACTGTAGCACGACTCAATCAGCATAAAGATATAACCGAATAACACCATTATAAACCCCATGATCACTAAATCTCCTAAACCTTCACCATACTGAGCACACTTAGAAGTCCCGCATACAGAAAGATAGAGTATCCAGCATATGCATGTGATAAAAGCATGAAGCGAAATAATGCGAAGGGCGCTTTTGCCTTTCTTGAGTCCAATGAACATATGAATAATCGGTATAAAAATTTGCAATAGGGGGACAATCGTCAAAACCAGTGGCCTAAACCAATCGGGCATCTTGGTCCGATATGACGTAGCGCTTCTTCTGTTCCTCTGCTTCAATGGTAATTTTTGCATTGTAACTGATGCTTTTGCTGCTGATGTTTGGGGTGGTACATATCTGCACTGTTGTGTGCTTGTCCACTCAAACAAATAATCTCCTTGTTGGCACTGCGATATAAAGAACGACGGCTGGTAGGATTTTCTGCAAAAGACTGAAGCAAAGCTCGATTCTTCGAGACTGTAATTAATAACTTTATGAGCTGAAGACGGATAAATATATTTGTGACATCGTGGGGACACTTTGCTGCAGGTAAGCCCGCGGTAGGCTTCATCACAAATGCAAACAGTTTCATTTGTAAGACTGTTTTGTCTGCAGGTGCCTCCATTCAAACAGGGGTTCCATTCAGCGCACGAGGGGGAAGTGCCATTAATGACTCTTAGTGGAAGCCCTCTGCACCGAATGCCAGTAGGGTTGGTAAATCTCTCCCATGACGAGCCTCTTGATATTTCCCAAACAGATGTGATGTATTCAGGCCTAAAGGCGCTGTCTTTAGCTCTCAAAATTGGAGAATAGCCTTCTTGCTTCACCATCCAAAAAGGTCTTTGATAAAAGAGAATCAGTTTTGTTATTCTACTGTGTCTGTATATTTTTCGGTCATTCTTGTAGTCATTATAATATTCCTCGAAATAGTCGCTTAGATGGTTATGCAGAACTCCGCCATTATCCAAACTCGTGAATGTTCTATTGAAATACACACGACCTGATGAACATCGGAACACATCATTTGGAACACAAACCAACTTCATCGCGTCATGGCGATACAGATAACGGTACGATTCAGATTGCCAGTCATAATATCTCCAATAGCTGATAAACTTCTGGTAGGGTTGCACCGTGTTACCCTTAGTTATCAAGCTCTGCCATGATTTCCCATCGAAATCACTTTTCATATTCACGTATAAGCCCACATCACTTCTCTTCGAGGTTGACATATTTAAGTATTTAAATGCCATTGAATTTTCCCCATTTTTATTGATGTATTCAAAAACGAAATTCCTTTCTTCGTGCTTGAACATTGGGTGTCCATTACTTTCATTAAACTTGCGATAGATGCCTACAAGCTGAACATAGGGCATTCTCCTCTCGTCTCCATGATCGAAGTAAAGCCTTTCGCAAGGACTCGAAGCATGAAGTTTTGCGAAACATAGAGTAAAGATGATACAACAAGTTGAGATGATCGCCATTGAAGGAATCTTTCTACCAGCAAAGATCAAATAATTCTGTTCCTTAACACTTCCCGCCAACCGCGTTCATCAGCTTCCCGAAATGATGCCACGCATCCAGCTTGCTTTTATATGCAACCCTGATAGCGTAATCATACTTCCTCTGTCGTTTCCTTATTTCTTGGAAATAACAGCTGACAAGCGATTGCATGTGTTAAATTGTCTTGGAAACTCTATCAGTCTGTTATGGAAACGATTGTTAAGGTATAAAAGGTTTTATTAAAGAATGAGATGACCTCGAAGCTTATCTGAGAAGCAATACAATCAATGGCAGTATAAACTATAAAAGATAAACAACCACAAATATGAGTTTCCTTTGCATTCTACTTTTGGAAATAAAACTATTTCTAAATTTCTCTCAGCAAATCAAAGATTTGGAACCGATACTCTTTTAAAAATGGCTTTGAGTAAAGCAAAAACTTGATTTCGGATCGAAGATATGAAAAAAAATATGGCCTATATTCAGCGAATGCAATCTTAAAACTCAACAAAAAAATAGCATTATCACACGCAATTTAACATAACAATAGATCGAAGTACATGATAGATATTTATAGGGTGCCAAATGGGCCAAAATTTTAAGACAGGATAGAATCTTGTGAAGGCTTTGAAATATCATCAAGATTAGGATATATCTCTCTTTACAACAAAAGTTTTTAAAAAGATAGCACTTATTAATTTCTTCATGATATTCCTAGTATCTTTACCAGAATATTTGCACAACTTCTTGTTGAGATTTTCGGACTGAATTTTGATCATGGCCCTGTCCCGATATATATTTACCTATAGGGTTTTAAGGTCTGCTATGATCATAAAAAAAGATTCTGCAAATAACATGCCATGGAGTAATACATATAGCAATGCTCCTCCGCTTCTCCGCCTCTTCGCCCTTTGTTTCCTCGCTCAAAGTTTTACGGCTCTGGTACCCAGGGTAATTCGTAGTCCACATCCCTTCCCCCACCCTATAAGGCCTGCCTTGGCACTTGTTAGGCCCTAAGCTGAAAAATATCCAGAAGTTGCAATTACAATCATGGAAATTAACCTGGAAAGACTTTTCAAATGTTTCGCTTAAAATTGTTCTCGCTTCCTTTACTTACTCAATTGGGTCTTTTTTCCAATTATTTAATCTGTTCGCATTGGTGTGGACGCACTGCAGAAAAAGATAGGAAAATGTTTTGGTACGAAATAAAACATTTTTCTTAATAAACTGTTATTGACTTATGTAAATTAACTCCATGCCAATCAATTTTCTGACTTTGATAGACAAAATTGTAGTTAGAGACAACATCGGACCTTGAAAAACGAGATGAAAATTGTTTTCAAACATTTTACAACATCTTGAATAGCTTCTGATCCAGAATTCGGCCAGTAGCCGTAAAAATATTGAAATATCTTAGGCGTTTTTCAAAACCACGATGTATCCCGAATCCTGACAGGCCAGTGGATTACAATGTATATGAAGTCTTTATTGGTTATCTGTAACACATTTGAGCAATTTTGTGCAATCCAGAAAAATTTTGTACTGATTCGGTGAAAAACTTTGATTCGGAAAGAATTTTGTAGTCAGTTGTAATTAAATGATGTCATTATTGCTTAACTAGTTATGGTTGGAAATTTGTCTTACAAAAGCAAAGATGAAAGATATTAAAGTTTAGGGCGTTCCTAATATTTTGCAGGCACTTGAAGGGCGTGGCACCAAAGTCTGACAATTATTTAACACCCCCAATAATTACCCATAAAATCTGCCCCAGCCTTGTTGACTATCTGAATTAGTTCTTGTTATGAAATGTTTTCTTCTTATCTGTCATAGATTTGCTCTTCTTATGTTGCAAATATTAATAAAGGGCACGCAAGTTTAAATATCTTTTGACGGCGGCTTCCTTGTTTTATTATTTATTAATATCCTCCCTAATGACGTTAGTAGGTCAACTTGGGATGTGCAATGTTCGTTCTGAATGCAGACACTTGTCGCCAGACCACTTAAAAGGATGGTATACCGACGGAACAATATTTTTTTATTCAAAGTTCTGTGACAGATCGAAGATACTTTCCAACATTTAGGTAACTTCAATAAAGGACAGGGTTGTGATATTCCAAATATGATAACTTACCCTAAAATGTATATATTTTCCAAAATCCTACCCCAAAATTCAGATACCACATGAAACACAGTACATGCCTAAAAAAATTATATTTAATGCCGTTCTATAATCGAGCCTACAATCCAACAACTCAGTCAAGTAAATGATACCCAAAAACATATTGTCTACTCAAGCAAAGGTACCCCAAAAAATCCCGTCTAACTGTATAAAGAAGTTCCTCCTTCCCCCCTGAGGATTCTCGACAAAGGTTATATTTTAAATCCTCTTATAGTTACTCTAATAACCTTATCCAAATATGCAACACTATTCAATTAAGATTTGCATACAGTCACAAATCTTGCGTATAGAAAAACTCGAGGAGATATGATATTGGTTTTTCAAAATCATGAATGGTATGTCAACTTGAAGGATACAGGCACCGTTGAGCAGGGGGGGGGGCTGGGGAGGCTTTAGCCCCCGCACTTTTTGCAAAAAATGCCAAAAATTAAGTAATAAACTACCAGTAAAGCCTCTTTTATTCGGTTTTAGCCCTCCCACTTTTTCTAGACCCCCCACTTTTCTCGACGCATCGCGGTGCCTGGTATACAAGTTGTGTACAAATAACACAAGAGTACACGAGCTCAAGCTTTTTAAGCAAAGGAATTGCTTGAACGTTAGACAAAATTTCTTTTCCCAAAGAATCGTAAAGTCGTGGACCAAGTTACAAAAGTCGTTATCAGTATATCAACAGTATTTAATTTTGAAAAATTGTATGACAGCCTCAATTACGAAAGTAAATATAACTTTAGGGCTCTATAGGCTGGGTACCTCGTACTACCTTACTCGATATACCACCATTATGTCTTGCCATCGATCAACAACAAAAATGATATCTCATCTCTAAACTTTTCAACATTGCCATCTGTACTACGTTCTGCATATTTTGTTGCAAAAATAAACAATGGACAGACCCGGAATAACATCCTTTTTAATTTTGGTTCTTTATTTTCCTCAGTTTCTCCTTTTATCTCACGATTGGTATAGTTTTTTCTTAAAAATCCAGGCTGGTCAATTGCAAATTACTTTGTAATAGTGAAATTGGTAATTTAGCTTTAATTGAATTGAAAATTAAATGTTTCCAATAGCAAGAATCTACAGTATATGGTGTTCATTTTTGCTCAGTAATTAGCGGTACATTATTTACCCTGTATTGGGGTTTAAATGGGATTTGTTGTGTGTGCGTGCGCGATGCCTAAGATCCGCTGGGACCTTACGCTAGACCTAGAAAGCACACGCAACAAGACGCCATGTTTTCACTCCGACCCTGATCTAATCCCTGAACTCCAATCCGAGGCTAGTATAGAATGGTTTATGCCTAATACATTACAGAATTAATAGAAACAGTTACCTAGGTTGAATCCAGGGTCATGCAACTGACATGCGGAGGTGGGTTGAACCCAGGGTCAGCCCAGGTTTGTTTTGAGATATAGTGTAAACCCGAAACGGGATTGATTGAGCCCGGGTAACTTTTCTACTGCGCAAGCGGATCAAGATCATGAATTGAAAAAGGCGCCAGCTTGTGACCCCTTTTTTTCAACTGGCTGAATAACATTGCCATAATTCCCTAGGAAAGGGGATTTCATATGTTAAATCAAAGTCTAGATTTCGAAAGGAGCCAAGATTAACTTTGATATGACTTTATTGTAGCATTGAGGCTTTGACGAAGCTGACTTTTATGTTTGTTTGTCACTACAAGATTTTGTATTTACATTCTTCTTGGTTTTAGATATTTAGATAAACAGAATTTACACTGAAAATTGCGAAACGCCTATGTAAAATGCCTGTTTTATTGTTTACGTCATCTAATGATTTTTGGGTAACTTAGGATTTTATTACCATGGGTAGTCGGGAAATGATTTTGCTCAAGGCTCCAGTCTTGGGCCATTTGTTTGGCCGGAGTTATGGAGCAAAAATAAACATCAATTCAAACTAAAGAGTCTATACAGTTTATCTAAGATGAGGCTTTACAAAGAATTGGTAGGGATGGGAAAGCAGTAGAAAGAAGCCAAAAGACTAAATTGTTAATTCAATGATAATATCATCGCTTTTGTATTATTGTACGTCACAAACAAAAGATAATGCAAGAGGATATAGATCAAAAATAGAATAGCATTGAAGCCTAGTAGCATTTTAGTCCTTATTAATCAGGGCCGCCGAGTTGTTTTCAAAGCCACCGAGTGGGGCAAATCTGAAAGATGAAGATTTTTGCAACCACAATCAAGATTTCGATAAATCCCATTCCTAAAACTGGATTCATTAATCTATGAGGTTATCCAGACATCCTGGCACTGGGACACTTTGCACCCCTGCAAATCTCCCTTCTGCCATTTTGGTTGTTCTGCCGTTATTCATATCTGCCTATAAACAACCATTCATCTGTTAGGAATCAGACAACAAGCATGATAATACAAATGTGAAGGAAAATAATAAAGCGAATGATCGGTTCTTTGTCATGACAAGAATATCAATATAGTACCGAAATGATTACATCAAAAAAATCCATTTTTAGAAATTTGTTATTTGACCATATAGCCTGAAAGACTATTACGAAATTCCTCTAAATGTGCAAAATCGGTTGAATGTGTTTCAAATTGGGAGATATGGTCATACAGGCATAAGCTCTTCCCCCCATCTAATTTGGTAACTTTTTGAACCAGGCTAGAACAACGGTTCCGATGGCAAACTTGAAATCTTCCATTGGCCATATCTCACCCAATTTTCAACATATCTACCTGATTTTGCAGTTTAACAGGCATTGTGTGCCGTTCTTTTAGATTCTGTGGTCAAAATTTAGAAATTCTAAAAATAGATTCTTGATGACGTCACACTTGCTACTCTATTATCCTAAGACAGCCTAAGGGAACTTGAGAGGAAGTCTTATCTGCAATCAGTTGTTGCACAACCGTGTTATTATAGGCAGTTTGTTGATGCATTTCTAGGAGGTTGGATGTAGCTGGGAATTATTCATAGTTAAGGAAATGAAACCAATATGCACGCAAAGGTTATGGGATCTTAGAGCGATAACATAAAAAGTTAATGCAAAGATTAACAAAACCTAGGCTTGTAATC